TTCCTGCTGCTTATCAACTTCCTAATTTAATGATGAGTCTGTTTTGTTTTACAGGGAATACACCAAGGCATAATTGAAGGAGATTTTGCACTTTGTATCAGTTTATATCATGGTTATGAACTGCTGCTTCAAATGGGAGTACGGTCATTATTTATCTACCTTTTTGGAATTATGGATGGATCAAAAGGTGAAATGTCTTCAGAAACATCCTTCCTTTTGTCTCCACTCCTTCTCATTTAATTTACCTCATCTGTGTGGCTAGTTTTGCACAGAACAGCTTAGGTAACAGATGGGTTGCAAATGTAATTGGTATTTTGTTCCCCTTCATCCCTATTGGAAATATGTTTGCACAATGTTCAAGATAGAATATATTGGGGAAAGCAAATGTGTTTATATGGCAACGGTTCCAAAAAAAATAAGACACAAACAGAACTCAGCGTATGTGACAGTAATATCTCTGGAGAGACAGAGAAAAACCATTAATTTCAACTAAGAAATTGTAAAAGCAATTATAAAGCAATTGTAAAGCAATTCCTGTCCCTATAGCAAAACTCACGTATGCGTGACTTTGAAGTGTCTTTGCCAGAAGATTACAGATTTGGACACATCACACCAGAATTTCTATCCTAGCTGTGCAGCATCTTCCATACTCACCGAGTAAAATAGAAAGTTGTTTTCTGTTCTGGCCTTGGTTTATTTTCCTAATTTTATCACTGACTTCTGTGAGTCCTTTACAACTCTCCACAGTCATTTTTAGACCCATTGGGTTGTCATTGCTGTCTGGAAGACCTGGTTTGCTACTGACATCTCTTTTGAGGGGGGAGATTTCCACTTGGTAATGTCAGTCCAACAGCAAGAATCTTCTAAACACGGGATGTGGGAGGGGAAGGTTCCAGCTGTTCAGATTACCCTAACGTGTGCCTCTGAGGTTTCTTGCTTTATTTTGGTTTACATTTCAGTTACACTTAACTGTGTAACTGTGTGTAACTTACCAAAGCTATGTTGTCTACAGCACAGCTTGATTAAACTGACACTGCCTTGTCCTGTGTCTGAACCAAAAGCGTACAGTGCTTGCTTCATAGTATAGAATATCCGTAGAATATATCTTTATATTACGCGTGTACTAATAATTTCTCATTAATTTTATGCTTTTGACATTTTTTGCAATTTATTACTTTCACGTGTGAAGATCTTTACATTTCTGATGGTATAGTGCTGTTGTTAGACCTAGGCACCCAAGAACATTTCATGTATTTCCTAGTTTCTCATATTCCTTAAATCCCTGTCTGCTATTGAATAGAATGGAATATTTGAATAGAATGGAATATTTCAGTTGGAGAGTCTTACAATGATCATCTAGTCCAGCTATCATCCAAAGATGACTGATCAGAAGTAGTTCTAATAAATAGGTTTTCTGTACTGCTTCTGGTAAGTTTGATTTCTGGTTTGAGTAGCACAAAATTCTTGTCAAGGTTGACATAAAATCAATCAAGCAACTTGTTAATTCTAGCTTTTTGTCTAAGTTCCTTTCTCTTTGACCAACAGGCAGTACTTTGTAGAATCATAAAATCATAGAACGGTTTGGGTTGGAAGGGACCTTAAAGCCCATCTAGTCCACCCCCTGCCCTGGGCAGGGCCACCTCCCCCCAGCCCAGGTTGCTCCAAGCCCCGTCCAACCTGGCCTTGATCACCTCCAGGGATGGGGCAGCCACCAATTTCTGGGCAACCTGGGCCAGTGTCTCGCCACGCTCGAGGTTTCTGGATTAGATGGCTTTTCTAGTGCTAAATCATTGATTTAAATTTTTTTAGTTTACCCACAGGACCAGGCTTCATTTGAATTCACGTTTTCATATTTAAATTCTATAATGGCGTCTCCTCTGAAAAATATTGATGCCAAACAAAGTTTATTATGTTTTCTAAAGATAAGATGTATCTTTCAGCTCTTGAAAGGAGCTTGTTACTTCTGAGAAAGCTTGCCTTCAGGATAGCAAAATTTATGTTCACTCCATAGATTAAATACTAAGATATTTCAACTTTTTACAAAGGGTTAACCCGCACAAAGAATGAACTGGGTCGTAATGAGGACTTCATGAAGCTATATCAGCAGCTTAGAGACATGTTTTCGGACACATCTCTGGCTTCAGCGAATGGAAATATTTACAAGAGTAAAACAGGTCAGTATTTCCCTCTTAGGGGCAGAATATTTACTTTCTGTTTAAATGAAACAGTAGATAGCTCTACATAATTTGTAGATGCAGGAAGCTATTCGTTGTGATACACTCAGCTAGTATTCTTTATTCCAGATTGTTTTCCCCAGACTCTAATTTATTTATTTATCTATCTATCTGTTTATCTTCTCTCAGCCGTTTCAACTACCCTCGAACAAGTTTTCTATGTTTGAAGTTTTTAACTTGATTTGAAAAGAAAGGTTAAAATATTACTGTTTGATGATTTATCTTTTACAGTGTGACTGTAACGAAAGTAACAACACTTTCTCAAAAACTAGGTTTAGTAAATGTGCTTCCCTAAGTAGTTTATTCATTTGTTTAGGTGAACGCAATTAGAACTAGTGTCAGGAATTTGTATGTCTACTCGAAGAATTGTAATGAGAGGAAATTAGGTTCACTAAGCCTTCATACTTGTTGCAGGTTTGCTTACATCTTTAATTGCTTTACTTCCTTTTCAGTTTTTGAAAATAAAAAGGAGTTTATCTACAGCCATCCAAAATTAAGGAAATTGGAGGAAATTGTAATAGAACACTTCAAATCCTGGAAAAAGGGATGTTCTGGTAAGTACCAACAACTCAGAGAAATAGAATCTGAACAGCTGAACCTGTGGATGAAAACAAGTAATATCCTACTGGTTTATTTCCTAGTTTGTTCAAGTTCTTCTTTACTGTTTGATATGTTTGTATATCTTCTGTGTGGAAAAGTACTCTTTAGAAGAACTGTGCCATAACATTTCCTTAAGCAAAAGCCTTCTATAAGTTATCGTTATTAATTTGATATAAACTGTTTTAACAGCTTAGTAAAACAGTGACAGTAAACTCATTCCTTGTGCTACGATGTCTCATGATTTTCATCGTCACAGAATTTGTTCTGGAAACCATCTCTCAGTGCACTGCTACAATTACCTCTGGCAAAGTTAGATGCAACGTATTTATGGAGCTTAAGGATAAAAGCTCTGATATCCATCCTGTTGCCAGGAATGACAAACTCCGAGGCGTCGATTTGAAGTTTAAAACCTTCAATTACATTCATCTGTCTCTCATTCTTTTTTATCTTGACCAAAAGGGAGAACAAAAGTATGTCATACAGTAGCATGAGATTATGAAACAAAGTATTCTGAATCATTCAGATGTCTCTGGTTTTAGGAAGTTTTTGGCGAGGTAGACACGCTGGAGGGGAGGGATGCCATCCAGGCTGGAGAGGTGGGCCCAAGCCAACCTCATGCAGTTCAACAAGACCCAAGTGCAAGGTCCTGCATCTGGGTCGGGGCAATCCCAAGCACAAATACAGGCTGGGTGGGGAATGGCTGGAGAGCAGCCCTGAGGAGAAGGACCTGGGGGTGCTGACTGACCAGAAGCTCAGCATGAGCCAGCAGCGTGCAATCGCAGCCCAGAAGGCCAACCGGATCCTGGGCTGCATCAGAAGTGTGGCCAGCAGGTCAAGGGAGGTGATCCTGCCCCTCTGCTCCACTCTTGTGAGACC